ACCTGTTACTAGAAGCGATGCACTTGTTACTACTAGCTTCTTGTTACCACTAGTAAGGCACCTGTTACTAGAAGCGATGCACTTGTTACTACTTGCTTCTTGTTACTACTAGTAAGGCACCTGTTACTAGAAGCGATGCACTTGTTACTACTAGCTTCTTGTTACTACTAGTAAGGCACCTGTTACTAGAAGCGATGCACTTGTTACTACTAGCTTCTTGTTACTACTAGTAAGGCAGCTGTTACTAGAAGCGATGCACTTGTTACTACTAGCTTCTTGTTACTACTAGTAAGGCACCTGTTACTAGAAGCGATGCACTTGTTACTACTAGCTTCTTGTTACTACTAGTAAGGTAGCTGTTACTAGAAGCGATGCACTTGTTTCTACTAGCTTCTTGTTACTACTAGTAAGGCACCTGTTACTAGAAGCGATGCACTTGTTACTACTAGCTTCTTGTTACTACTAGTAAGGCACCTGTTACTACTAGCTTCTTGTTACTACTAGTAAGGCACCTGTTACTACTAGCGTGGCACTTGTTACTACTCAGTTGCAGGCCAGAGGCTGTAAAGAAGTTGGCCGTCTTTGGGATACAAGGCTGGGAGCTGGTGTTCGAGAAAGTTGTTGATGCTGTTTGCGGCCTATCTTCTTGTTGAGCAGCATATGCATCCGTTTCTCTTCCAATGTGAATTTCGTTTGGTTTGGTGGAAGGCTACATCACCAAGGAGGATATTGAATCCTATGAGGTGTGGAAGGGTTCCAGCATGGACCAGCATGAGCTCTTTGTAGGGTTGTGTGCAGGATACTGAATGAAGGGTGAAACATCATATGCCATGTGGCTCAAGAATCCGCTACCGTTCAAGCCCACTGGTTTAAAGAGGAAGTGTAGACCCAAAGCTGCAGTCCCAGTCCCTGGGTCTTTTTGGGGGGTTAATATATTATATAAATAAACGTCAATGCAGAGGCTAGTTGCATGTTTGACAGATCACCTGCACCAGATCACTTTGACAGTTGGACGATGGCCTATCGATGCCTATCGTTTCAATTTTAGAAGATGAACAAAGCAGCTATAGGCTGTAGGCCTTCCTTTAATCGTAGGAGTTCGGCCACTCATCAAATCGATTCGGAGTTCAGCCTGAACAGGGCCGCACGCCCCCCCAACTGGACCATCCCACCGACATCCCCCTCCAGGGCCTGCGCGACGTCGAGAAGGCTGGATTGGGCCGTCTGTCTATGCAAATATGATTTGCATGTGGGGAGATTCCTTCAAAAATTGCTTTGGTGGCTAGGACTGTCCACCAAGTGAGAACAATTTCCAAGTCATGTAAAGTCTGCTTGTGTGCCCATTAAGGGAGCAACACTGGGATTGCCGGTCACCATGAACCATCTAGCTTCACTGTCCATTTCCTCAGTTGAAGGCTTGGAGTAAACGCATGCTGGACACCCATCGGCCCGTCTATGGCGACGACTTGCAACCCATGTGGAACTCCTTTTGCGATGCCCCTTGGATCAACTGCTCTTGGGTTGGGAGCTGGCTGTGTTGTTGCTTTGGATTAGACTGCTGTTGTCATGTGTTGCCATGTGTTTGTGAGGAGCTTGATTCACCAGGCAGAACAATGGTTTGCTCATTGGGATTGAGGGCTTGGGCAGAGACTGTTGTCAGCAGTGATTCTAGTCCAGGCGATGAAGATGATGTACGAAGCTGGAGGTGACATGTGTCAAAAGGAAGCCAAGATGGTGAAGTGCCCCACCTTCATTCTGATACTTGGCAGATTGGTGGGGCTTGTACTTGCCTGGGTGGGGGTGGAGAATAGATCCCTTCGTTGGGCAGAATTTGGATAACGTTGGACAAGTGGAGGGTGTGGGTTAGGATCTCAAAAAGAAACCGATCAATCCGGCAGAGTAGAGACAAAAAGAGATCTTAAATAGAGAACAGTAGCTCAGTAGCTATCGGTCTAGGATAGCCACACTGTGAAGCTCCAAATCACCAACGGCGCCTTTTCGGAATCCAACCGAACCGGCGCCTCTTCGACTCGAATCGATGGTGCGGCCTGCGTGAGGCATGGGGCGAAAGATCCTTTGGTGCCGGAGCATCATCCCAAGTGGTTCCATGAGACCATCCCAAACTCCAAGCTGCACATCTTCCCGGAGAGCCGGTTTCCTCCCGCGAGATGGGTCGGAGAGCCGTTGGGGAAATGGAATTGTCATTGAAGCGATCGAAAAGGATCGAATGCCTTGTGAATAGATGTGAATGAGTAAGTGCTATAACATAGGCCACTAAAGTTTGGCATAAGGCTGTACTCCAGTTTTGCATACACTGGTTTGGAACAACCAGTAATAGTTGCTTGCGCCGTGTCCACCCTGCACAACCTGAGGTCTAAAATGGTGTTTGTCCCTGCCGAGTGTGGGGCTTTTGCAACCCATGCCCTGGAAATTCCTTGGATTCAGGGCAAATAGATTCATATGCTATCTTGATATAGAGAGAGAGCAATGCCTAGGTGCTTGGAGAGTGCTTTGTTGGTGTAGATGACGATTTAGAGACAAGCATGTGAAGATGCAAAACTCCTTTGCTTAACAACTGGCATCAACCAATGATATCACAACTTAATTTTGATAGTTGGTGGTTTTACCTCCAACAAAGAAAAGCACAGGAGGGCAAGCACAACATCCACCAGAAGTTCGCCGATGACTTCAACCGCTTGGTCTTGGATTTCTTCAGCGAATGAGCCCGCCAGCGAATGTCCAGACGCAGTTTTCAATTGATGGAAAACATGCGCGCAGCGACGAGGGGTTCCAAGATCCCAAAACTGGGTTGACCAATCTGAAAGTACGATTCATTAGTCATACGGCTTGGTCAGTTGCTCAAAACGCGGTTTGCAGCTTTACAGCTTTGAAAGTGATTTTTGTGGTGCCTACTTTCTCACCACAGAGCAGGGAGTTGGAGTACATGAGTACATGCAGAATGCATTGAAGAGGGCGCAGCTCTTGCGTCATAGGACTTTGACCTGGGAAGGCAGATGGTTTTGCCCCTCTTCAACACTGTTTATGCAGCTCTCTTCAAGATAGGGCCACTGTAGGCACTCTTTCTGCGCATAGGCAACCAACTTAGCCTCAGTAGAGGATGTATTGTTTGACCACCCCAGCCCGCCCCTGGCGGCGTTTCACCGTGGAACACTGGAACTGAGTACTGAGTATGGTGAACATACCGGGGGCCCTGCTTTGGGGACGTGCATGTTGTTGTGCATTCCCCACACCTGGACCTGTCCGTTTTGGGGAAGGAACACAGCTACTCAGCAGCTACCTGGCTGTTCCGACTGGAGATGGAAGCCTGATATGAGGACTCTTTTGAGTTTCACAGTCGGGATGTGCACATCCTGAATGCCTCAAATCAAATCCATTCAAATCCTCAAGCATTTACCATCATGAATGACCGTCCCAAACTGGACTTGGAACACCTGGTGATCCCTCCGCCGCCATCGTCCCTCGCTTGGCGGAGGCCAAGCAGTCCATCCGAGAGAATGCTGGGCTGGGGAGCACATCCGCTCCGCCACGAGCGGCGACACTGGGGGGAGCACGTCCATGTCGGCTGGTGAAATGGTGAAGGACGGTGTCCTTGTCATGGCTTTAGCCGTTGATGGTTAAGCCACTCATACGTGCATGTCATGGCTTTAGCCCAAACACAATCCTTTGATTAAAGGTGTTCATCGACGTTTAAGCCATGAGACGTCCACCACACACGTTCAGGAGAGGAATGTCCATCGAAGCAACCAATAGTGGGGGTTCATGTACTTTGATTTCTTCTATTTAGCCGGTCTTTGGGGTTGCCGATGAGCAGATCAGCTCAAGAAGGTGGACATAATCAGGGGTGCGGACCTGGGTGACCCTCACAGATAGAAAGGAGCCGTTCTAAGGTACACTGTGGAAGAGGTCCAACACATGAGAGAGAAGCCGTGTCCTCAGAGCCTCTTCAAATCTTGGCCAAGTTGATTTTGTCATTTTGCACAGACGTGGCATCAGATCGCTTGCGCTTGTCGGCTTTCTCGCAAAGCTGCTGACCACTTTTGTTCATTTCTTTGTGTGTTTCATGTTTCTACTTATATAGCCAATTTCATTCTGCAGATGTCCTACCTACATACCTCAAAACGCACCAGGTCCTATTAGGGGCACGCCAATTGTGTTGTTCGGGTTTCGCAGGTCATTTGTTCACCAAGCTGCCGAGACCCAGCCCCACCCAGTGTCACACTGGGTGTTTTCCATCCACACGTGGTGTTACGAAGCAGTCGGTCGCGTTGGATTCTCTGTTTGGGGGCGAACACCCTGCTACGCTGTTCACGGAGGTTTACGGTGTACGACAAGAACAAGAGCGGTGACATCGACAATCAGGAGATGGCCAAGCTCATGCAGGAGATGCCGCAAACGGAGAGGTGGTACTGTGGACGATGTAGGGGCACATCAATGGCTAACCAGGCTGTTCATTCTTGTGAATGATTCATGAATCAGAACCCATTGGAGTGTCACGAAAACAACCAATTGAAGGCTACCTTTCGGACACACCTTCCAATGAATTTGCTACGAGCACCAGTGATTGATCCAAAAAAGGTAGACAACGGCTAATTGAGTGGCCACAAGGCTGTGAGCTACACATGGCAACTCTTGCGTCGCACCCGAACATGGGACGTCGCCATGGGACCCGTTGCGTCGCCCAACCCGGCGACGGTCGCACCAGGTTCGGTCGTCGTTGGTTCTGGTACTGCAGACCTCAACTCGCTGAGGATTGAGTGTTTAATGTCGAAGGATATAATGTAGAAGAACACTGGCAGAATCCGAAAATGTCACAACTGCAAAGATACAAAGATCATCCAAAACATGAAGAAAGGAAGTTTGCACACTCTCTTTGTGCCACAGTCCACTCAATACTCAATATGCCTGTGGCTTTGTTTGACTTGGCACAAACACACTCTCAACCCGCTGCATGGCTGTAAGTGCCAAGAGTGAACCTCCAACACGAGTGTCGCCGGTATTTGTGTTTCCAAACAAAACGCTTTCATACACAGTTTCAACGTTTTTCGAAGAGCTGGAATCCTTGTCCCTTAATTGAACTTGTATGGTTGAAGAGCTTCCAACACCGGTGTGCATCTGGCTTCATCTTAGATGCACTTCCAATCGAATGTCATTAGCGCAGCACCCCACCCACATCTATACATCGTTGACAATGTTGCACAACCTACTTTGCAGAGTTAACGCTCTCCCAGTGGCCCTGCGGGTACTACGAAATGCTGTAAATAAAGCCACCTCGCGTCTCGCGTCGCTGCTATTGGGACCGTTAGCTTAAACAAGGATCCCCAGCCCAAACCAGCTTCTCTTCTTGAATGTTCACTTCGAAGCACTTCACCAAACAGGCAACAGCGCCGTTTTGTGCAATGACCCACGTTAACGCTCTTGGCCATGGCCAGGACCTCTGTCCAGATTTGGCCACGAACCGGGCGAAACGTGCCGAGATCACTCGGATCCTGTCTGAGGCGGGCATCGGCTGGACCGGTTGTATTGACCGGTACATGGTTTCAGATATGTTTCTGATATGTTGATGTTTCACTTTTGCTTTGGATGATTGAACCCACTGACTCATGTTTTTTCTCATTTCACCCTTTGCAAGAGGTTGGTGAAAAGACGATGCCCTTCCGGCAGAGCTTGGCATTTTTGCGAGTTCGGTCTCCACGACCGAGAGAGAGACAGGTGGACCCGGACAAGACCGGCTTGGTGGACTTTCCCGATTTCCTGAGGCCGACGGAAGTGATGTGGTGACGAAGTCGGAAGTGATGTGGTGGAAGTGATGTGGAGCCGAGGTATAGAAGTCATTTCTGGCGATGTAAATGGCAAACTACGTTGGGTGCAGGTTCACCATGGCATGGAGAAGATTTAAAGACATGGTGCTTTGGGCGGTGCCCATTTAGCCTATTTGTGGTGGGGATTGAGGCGTCGAGTTGGGAATGCCGCAAGGAGGCTGGGATATTATGCTAGTTACTCCCTTGGATGGTACTTAAAGCTTTAGGGTGGCTTTTTGGTGGAGTGGCCTGGTAGATGAACTAGCCTAGGACAAGCCCTGGTCAAGCAATCAATTTCAAATTTTGCTAGGCTCTCACAAAAGAATAAAAGAGAAGTGACGTGTGGCCCGGTGAGGAAGAGACCTGTTGGCCCAGCATCTCATGTCCGGGTTTGGACGGTTGGCCCAGTTGGCCACTCCGTCCACCGTGGGGGTGTCCAATCCCACAGGGGTGACAGATGCCCAAACAGCATTCATCTCGACCGTAGACGTCGACCCTTCGCAGGCTCATGCGGCAAGTGGATGAGATGCAAGATCGTCTTCGAATGGCAAAGGCGGCCGCCCGCCAGAGTCTTCGGCCCAAACAGCAATGGGAAGTGTTCGTCCATACCCATGACATGGTCAGAGTGTGTCCGCCACTTGGACGGTGTGGAATAGGAGTAAAAAGCAGTGGAGTCATGAAGCTAATGTTAGACTCTTGAATGATAAACCGTCCCATGATGCCATGTGAAGATGTTGTTCAATCCATATGAGGGGGTTAATCAAGAGTCTACATTGTGAAAGAATCCAAATTGGTGTCGAAATTCCAACCATTCCTCACCTAACACTCACTGGGCTGATCCACCAACGGGCCAACTGAAGGGACTTTGGGCATGATCACCTCACCCAATTTGAAGAGCCAGCCACATTACACCCGATCAAAGATCGGAGAATGTGCCGTGACTTTCGAGATCGGTGTGTTCTTTCACATCACTGGGCCACTCAGTGAATGAACTTGTTGTGTTTTTCTTGGTTGATTATACAGATTGGAATCTAGATACAGTTGTACGATGTAAGAATAAACAAGAATAATTATGTGATTATTGAATTGTATGTTTACATTACATGTATATATAACATAATAATTCAGCATGCATATATATTGTATATTTTATATTTCACTATATTAGACATATTGTGTGGTTAGAGTTTGAGCCACCCCGTACAAACAATTAGAAATCTGATATAATAGGACGTGTCGAGATGCCTCCCCAAGTACTGATGTTTTCGTCCACAAGCACTGCGTTTCCTTTGATGTTGAGATCCTCCCCCTGCAAATGTAGATTTCGTCGGAAAAGCACAACTTATATACATACTATCATGGATGAACAACTGTGGTGTTTTGGGATCCCCAAAACACATCAAAACACGGTACGGCCTAAACCAGGGACTTCCGTGGCCTTCACCAAAACGCCCTCACCGCCTCCATCCACCTCTCCCTCGCAGGAGGCCTTCGCCATCGAGAAGTCCAAGTTCTCCTCCCGTGAGGCGATTCGACGAAAGAACAGCATGGATGAAAACGGAATCATAGACTTAGACAAAGACAACTACGTCATTTGATCCTTGCCACAAGTAAAGCATACCCCTCACCCCCCTTTGGGCAGGTGGAAGAGTTCCGAAAGCTTTTTCTGGGCGAGGCATTGGATCGTGGGATTCTTTGACGGCCCGTGAACAGCAGTGAACAGCAGTGCTTCAAACTCCCGTGTCTTGTGTCAAGACGTGAGATACGAAGCTCAATGGTGAGGGAACGGAACAAGACATTTCAGTCCAAGACTAGACTGTTCCTTGAAAGCCCGGGTAGGATCGTGCTGGGCAACTGGCAGCGGCACTGCGGGATTTCCCCCAGTCGTAACGTCATCGGACTGACCACTGGCATCCCTTTCTTCGTGTTGCGAGGTGGTGTTTGTGGT